CGGTCAGTGAAGACGAAGAAGAGAATGATGTGCGCTACCGGCGCCTATTTTGTACTAGTCGCGACGGTAGTGACGTCATGGCTGTCGCCGGCCAAACAAGTTGGTGTTTTTTCAATGTAGGCTTCAGACACGGGTCACGAGGAGGCGTTCCCCATAGCGACCCCTAGAGGACGCAGTTCGAAGTTCCACGAAAGGGAACAGCATAATTGGCATGTTAGCCTTTCCAACATATCTAAAAATGTGGCAAGAAAGCTTTCTTTTCATGTTTTAACAAAAGTCTCATAAGCTTAACATAAACTTCAGCCTATATGGCATATGTGGGTGAGAGTAAATAGCTAGGATTGGAGACTTGCAGTGGTTCAAGGATTTGAAATGGAAACAATTTTAAAATGACACGGCATGTGTTATTCTGGGCTATGTGATTTTATTTTAAAAAAATAAAGAAAGAACGAAAGAAAAAACCCGTGTCAACAAAACAATAAGCTCCCATACACTGCTACTGCTTCATTTAAATTAGGTTCCTGCACTGAGTATTGCGCCATTTTAAATCAATTTGGTTTTCATAAGAACACTGGTAAAAGTATGTTTATTTATTCTGCAAAGAAATAACACAGTATTTATTCTACACTCTACTACGCACAGTATTTTTGATTCAACGCATGAGGAAAAAAAGTCAGATTCACATATTGGCAACTTCTATATAAAAGATTATTTCAATTAATGCAAATTGAAATCATTTACTCACCCTAATGTAATTCTGTATGCCATACTTTCTTCTGCAAAACACAAAAGAAGATATTTTGAAGAGCGTCGGGGTACAAACAGCGTTAAACTGCACTGGCTTTCATTTCATGGATAAACAAAAATTAGACGTTTTTCAAAATATATCTTCTTTTGAAGTGTTTATGTGTTTGACTTAACGTTTTAAACTTTATCTCACAATTACCTTATTATACTGAGGTTATAAGACTATCAGTCTGCAAGTAAACATACCATTTCAGGAGCAATTCTCACAATATTGCATTTAACACACACACACTCACACACACAATTGTCAGATGTAAATGAGCCTCCCAAACAATTGCTCTGTTTTTAATTGTTGCTTAATGTCTTTGAAAAAGATTGGTTCCAATTCACATGGGAACTCCTGAGCATTACTAAAAACCTATTTAATTGCTTAATTCACAATGAAATATATCATCTCATTAGTATCAAGTACTGTATCTTGTCCAGATCTGCCAGTGATACTGTGGGTCTTGTAGTCTATTCTACTGTAATTTGGATAATGAATTAACATGTGAATAATAAGTGGGACACAGCAGGTGATTACAGCTGTAATAGCAGGACATGGAGCGTGTTCAGAAAAGTACTGTGGATGGGTAGGTTTAGGGTTGTGGGGTAGATGCATATCATATGTACGCGAAAACTGCGTATCATATGCACGCCAACAAATTTCGTATCATATACACGCCAAAGTCCATTTTTGCGTATCAATACCACGAGTTTTCGTTTTTATTTGCCGTACTATTTATACGCATTTTCATGAGACCGGGCTCAAATAATATTAAAAACACATTACTATGAATGGGGACTGAGGCACTCAAGCTTCAAAAAGCATCGTAAAAATAACAAAAGCAGTCCATAGGATTTACTATATTCCAAGTTTTCTGAAGCTATATGATGAATAAAAACCTTTCAGTCTGCTTGTCACACAAAGATATTGCATGACTTCAGAGGACTTGGCATATAGTGTCATATAGTGCATATAGGTTTATTTGCCTGGTTATTATAGAGCTTTTAATTCTATTAAAGAGAAAGTCATAACAGGATGGATTTGAAACGACAAAGTTGGGTAAATAATGACAGAGGTTATATTCTGGGGTGAATTATTCCTTTAATCTTAACACATTCGCTTGTCACAAATACGAAAAAGAAAAATGCAAATGTTTATTTTGTTCATGAGACCGGGCTCAAATAATATTAAAACACATTACTATGAATGGGGACTGAGGCACTCAAGCTTCAAAAAGCAACGTAAAAATAACAAAAGCAGTCCATAGGATTTACTATATTCCAAGTTTTCTGAAGCTATATGATGAATAAAAACCTTTCAGTCTGCTTGTCACACAAAGATATTGCATGACTTCAGAGGACTTGGCATATAGTGTCATATAGTGCATATAGGTTTATTTGCCTGGTTATTATAGAGCTTTTAATTCTATTAAAGAGAAAGTCATAACAGGATGGATTTGAAACGACAAAGTTGGGTAAATAATGACAGAGGTTATATTCTGGGGTGAATTATTCCTTTAATCTTAACGCATTCGCTTGTCACAAATACGAAAAAGAAAAATGCAAATGTTTATTTTGAATAAGTGTGGAATACATAGGCATACAGAAGATTTTTTCCTCTCATTTCCTACCCCATCCATTTCTGACACGTACAAAATTCTTATTATGATTGTGCATGCTGATATTTAAAGCATGCATAAAGCCTCATCCTAGGAGGTGTGGACCTACATTAACCTCAATGTTCAACATCACCATAATTTAGACCATAATGATAGCTGAAGTCATTTGTTCCACATGTTCAAACCAGGATCCAAGAATAAATTAGAATCAGTCACAGGATTTGTATCCTCAATATCTGTCACATAACTCTAAAAGCCATGCATATACACCAGATTAAAAGGAAATGCAAAAGCAGCAAATAGAAAACTCCAGAAAATCTCACAGGAGCTTAACATCTAAAGGAAACCACTGAAATCAATCATTATCACTGTGCAATGCATGATGTCGTAACACCTGTTTCACATTTGTTGCCTTCTTTTACACCAAATTTTCCTGTCTTTCATAGTCTGCCTGCCCTTTCAGTGCAATAACTAACTACAAGAATGTGACATTTCACTCTTTGCACTCAGCTGCATTTATTATGTCATTCCTTTATTTGAACAAGGTATTTATTTTCCTATGATCACAGCTATGCCTTAGCTAAAGTCCCGATGAAATGAAGTGGGAAAATATTAAATAACAGAAATGTACAACACGCTTTAGCCTACACATGCCACAGACAAAATAAACCATTTTAATGCAAAGCTTTTCAATGAAGTTCATCAGTGTAGCTCAGAACTTGCTGCGTGTGTCAATCTACATGCAATCAATTTCAAATGTAGTGATCATATGCATTTTAATTTGATCAAACTAGCCCATAAGGGATCTGTAAGCAGTGACTATTTTCATACATTTAGTTTGCTTTGGATTAGAGCTGCTTGCTTTTCTCATTGAAAAATTATAAACATTAGCATACATATATTGTACATGTTCTCATTTTAAAGTTCCAATTTCCTCACTGCTGGCAAAAATTCATGTTGGTTTAGTTGTACATTTGTGCAATTAGTTGGACTTGGTCAAGAACTGAGTGAGAGCATGTACACTCTTGTAATGTCTTTTGAGAAGTAGCCATTTGACAGTTATTCTTGCCCAGCAGCCATTGATTCATAAATGTAATTGCATATTTCAACCTATAGATTTTTATGCTGCAGATTGTTTCGAGGGGGAAAAAAACTACACTGCAAAAACTGAGAAGTCTCTCGTCAACAAAGGAGTAGTCTGAAGGGAGGAAAAAATAGTTTGCATAATTCAATACACACTGTCTCAGTCAATGACCCTGTGTAGCTCATGTCGAGCAATATTTGCCTATAAACCAACAGTGCTTGAACTTCAGTTTGCCACAACTTTCAACTGCAAACTTTTCAACTGCAGTAGAAGAATATACCACCATGGTAACTTACAGTGGTGAAGTTTAGAGGGATGCATTCCTCCCCTCTGAAGGTGCACTGCAAGAGCATTTCGCTGATATCATGGCCCGTGCGGTTATAGAAATCCGTCATGTTGAACTGCTTGGGATTGAAGTTGACAAAATTAGCCTTCTCCTTCAAGAAAGCGAGGACTTCCGGCTCGGCCAGGTGAGGGTTAGCGATCTGATAGTTCTCGTTGAGCAGTGCCAGCAGCTCCCCAACGTGGTACAGATCGTTCTTTGTGATCTTCGAGAAACGAAACTCATTGAGGTTGCAGAAGGTGATGGCTGGAAAGGTGAGGTTGGGCGCCGCCACCTCGTCAAGTTTGGTGATGTGGGGGAACTCGAAGTAGTAGCATACTCGGTCCATGCAGACGAACATCAGCAGACTTAGAGAGCCCATGAAGGACAGCGTCCATAGGAATCGACGGAACGTCATGTGGCCATAGGCGAATATGTGGCTCATGCCATGTAACGTGGAGGAGTTGGCGAAAACTTGCAGGCTGGACGGCCTCATGCTTTCAATGCTGTCTTCGGAGTCTCCCTTCATAGCTGTCATTGGTGTCCAGCGATAACAGCTGAGACAAATGTTAGAAAGTGTGCAATGAGGCAAGTCTAAACGCTTGAAAAAGCAGCAAGTCTTTGAAGAGGTTCTTTACGATTTCTGAAGGAGCTTTCCAGTTAGTGGCAGTCCTCACTCTATCTGCGACCTCTTCCGCCGTCTCTAAAAAAGCAGCTGTCATTCCATGCAGAACCAAACACAATGACAGCTCCAGAAAGACCAAGTCACATGAAAAGACAGGAGTGACGCCGTCCGGTTTCTGAGGGACAAAGCACAAAGAAGTGAAGGGAAACCAAAAGACACTGATGGAAATGAAAGATCTCGCTTGGCGAGAGCAGCTGATTGGAGTGTGCCTCCTCCAGTCGGCACAGAATGCCTTTACATCGCTATGACAATGGCATGGAATGATTTATTAAATGGGAAGATTACAAGAGCCGAGCGTCTGTTGCTCGTCGCCAGCTACATCCCCCTGCGCCACTCCCCTGCTGAAAATCAAGGGTCATAGACCTCCTCCTAGCCCACCTCTGTGTTTGACAGCCTCAGCCAGGTCCCTTGTCTCTCCTGGATTCACGGCAAGCTGCGGGGAGCGCTGCCTCTTGATGTTTTGGAAAGCCAATGTGGTGGTCTCACCCTGGACAGCGAACGTTTCTTCCTCCAGATCTGGAAATTAGGATTTATGCACCTCTGCCGGCTGCCTGCCACCCCTCCTCTCTCTCCGTTGCTCTTTAGTAGTCAGGATCCATCCCACTGCTGAGCGTCTGCTGAGCCACAGCCTGTGTGTGTGTGTGTGCAAGAAGCATGGGGGGAGGGTACTAGCGGGGCTGGGGGTGCTTCGATTCTTGGTTTCGTATGAAAGGAGAAGCTCTCAATGTGCAATGCTGTGTTTCAGCTACAGGTAGTTGCAGAGAAGCAACCATCTGTGCCATGTGATTGTATCCGAGGAGGTTGGTTTTGCAGGGAAGCACATCCTCATTTTCCCCACTAAACCTGCATATTAATGTAGCTGGAGTTTGACAAGAGATTTGAGATGATTTTGTATCTTTTCAAGACACAATTTGAGTGGTAACAGACGTGTTGGTCATTGGAGACCAACTTGATTTGTGGACTGAGGTTCGATCAATATCAATGAGCATTGTTTTTGGGGGGGTTAATAGTTCAGGGATCCCTTCAAAGCACACTTGCAAATCATATGAGATTGAAATGAGATTACGACTGCTATGATGCTCAATGGAGATAAATTACCATAACAATGGGTGAACGGCCAGGGTTAGAGATCATTCTCAACCGAATTAAATCAATATCCAATCAATATCCCAAGAGGAGGTTGGGAGTAAAAGACTTAATACTTTATATTTATATTTACTTGTTGCAGGGTCTCCTTTTTAAATAGATTCAGTTCGATTGACGTCAAATTTGGTTTGCGCTCATTTGCTGTCCAATAGAAAATAAAAATAGCTTTCCGAACTGTTCACAGAGCCCAGATGGAGTTTGTGCATGCATATGCATTCATATTCTGACTTTTGCAAATATTGTAATGTCTGGATCCTGTTTACAGTCTCTCCATTATAGCAAATATGCTGAGTGTGAGGATTAGCATATTACAATATTATTCTGCATATTTCTACATGTAAATTACTGTGAACAGCATTCTATGAATTGGTTGTTATGTTTAGACTCAGCAAGCTTGCCATGTGTAGGTAGCATATCTAAAACAAGTCTTTGAATAAAAGGCAGGCAGATAATGCAACAACTTAAACTGGTTTATATTTCACATACCTCTGCATGATTGATTACCATTCATTCCTGGATGCGACAGATGCGATTTAGCTATTTGTTAACAAGGCAAAATACAAGAGCAGTACTATTGAGACACACTATGAAGAATGAAGAGCAAAAGATGGGAAAAACAGTGTTACTGAAATACAGATTTAATCTTAAAGCTGGACTTTAAAAGGAGGAGCAGAGCATTATCAGAGAGTGGGCACTGCCTCCCACATCCAAACATCACCAATGAACATTTAACATGGTACTGGCCTGACCGAATGTGCTAATTGCTTTATTTCCACTGTTGCACTCTGGGAGATAGTGATTGCTGTTTTGAGTATGTTTCTAATTTCACCTAAGGGCTGAATGAATAAAAGATTGTACATAGTCACCAGTTATCGACAGCTGAAGTCATATCACACACACAATGACACAAAGAATCACCAACAAATCCACCATAAAACTAATTTGCTCGAAGAAAATGTTCAAAAATAGCAGACTATTAGCTGGTTTAAGCCACTATTGGCAGGAAATCACTTACGCTTTTTGTCTGATTGTTTATTGGTCTCCTACATCGACCTGGAGAATTTTTGCTTTGACTTGCTATAACAATGCAATTTTGAGGGCTTTCTTAATTGTGCTGGTGAAGAACTGGGGTTTCACTCACTTGACCCTTTTCCTATCCATTTATCTTTTAGCCAACCATTTGGGGATTTGCTTAACTGTTTTGGGTCATTATCCTGTTGCAGGGTCTCCACCTGTGGCTGTTTCAATTGGTTTCACTTGAGTTTAAGATAGATGAATAATACCTGGAACAGTATATTAAATTAACTTGGGAAGATGCAGAAGACATTCTATTGCCATTTTTAGACTGTGCAATAGAACTGAATTCAGAATCGAAGAACAGGCTCCCTTTCAAATCATGAGTGTAAATGTGAATTGGCCACACCCCAAAGGAAGTTAAACTGAAATTACAGGAAGTGAAAGTTAAGCGTTCCTCCAACCTGGTCTAAAAAATATGAAATATAAATAAGTGTATATAAATCAAATTTCTGTAGGTGACATTTCAAACAGATTTGTTTGCATGTAAGACCTACAAAACTATATATTAGTTAATAAAATATTATTTATCTGTTTTTGTTTTTAGTGTAGTTGATTATTTTAGGGTTTTTCAGACTCTTCAAACTATAGAAGACATGTAATGTAAAGAGTCTAAATCATTTATTTATTCATTCATTTATGAAGTATGTCTTGAAAGGCTTTCCTTCTGTGGTTAAAAATTGCACTTATCGCTGTTATATGGATTTCTTACTGAATTCAACTCACTAAGCTAAAATTCTATTCGAATTACAATTCTGCATCCCATTTAAACCCATTAATTTAACTGGAATTTGAAAAACATTCTCAATTCAATTACAAATGGAGCACAATCCTGCTATGCAATATGTATACGAGGGAACATATGAGCCGTATACAATGATAAATATGTTTGACATATGATCAATGTTTTCAAAGCTTCATTCAACACAAACGCATGAGCACATGACATCTGTCAGGAAAAGCACAGGAACAGCTTATCAATGCAGAGAGCTTGGCACAAAGCATGAGATTTCTCCTTCAGGGACTCGACCTCTGGTCGTAAGAGGTCATGAAGAACAGGCTTACTGTCATTCATAACCCTGTTTGCATGTACTGGACTATGTACACTCTCTAGCCAACCCGCTATGACTCCTCTTTTCTTGCTTTTTTACAACAACACAACAAATAAGAGGTAATTCACCCAAAAATGAAAACACTTATCCTTTATTCACCCTCATGTCATTCCAAAAGTTTATATGAGGTGTTTGACAGAATATGTTTATATGTTTATGTTATGTTTATATTATATTTATGCTATGTTTATAATATGTTTGACAGAATCACTTTTGGAATGACATGAGGGTGAATAAAGGATAAGTGTTTTCATTTTCAGAATCAGAATCAGAATCAGAAACTATCCTATGTGTTCAGAAAGCTTGTAATACAGCACACCGCATTTGTGATATATTAATAGATTTATGATAGATTTCAGATTTTGATAATGCTTTTCAGGGTTGAACAATATTAAAATTCAGTAATACACTGCTACAACTGAATTTAGGTATCAGAACATTAAAGGATATTCATTTCATATTCAGTTTGAGATTTGCTAAAGAGTCGATTTCAGAATGGTTATAAAGATTAATTTTAAGTGAGCATTAGATGATAGCAAAGGTAATTCAAATACAAAAATAGGGGAATTAACATGCACAATTAAATATCCAATCTTGACTGATAAATAAATACACAAACAAAATGTGATAACCAATAGAGTACTAATATATTGCACATCACAAGTCCTAGAAATCATTCAGTTTCATTATATAGAAATTCTGAACATTCTGCCTAACATCATCTTTTGTTTTCAATAGAAGAAAAAAACAATATGAGTTTGGAACAATATGAAGAGGACTAAATGATGACAGTTTTATACTAACACATTATGCTACATGAAATATATTCTGTGTGCAGGAGACAAAAGACAAATTATTGCTCAGGTATCTGTGAATATGAAAAGCAAATAAATAAATAAATACATTCTTCCATCTAGATACGCAATGATGGGAGAAAAAAACTATACAGCAGAGAGCACGTGGACATCCACACATATAAAAGCACACTCACCAGACACGTGTCATTTACCAGATAGAAAGGATGAACTACCCATTGTTTTATAGGCTGTGGGAACATACTCAAAATCTCATTCAGCTGAGAATATCGCTGAAGTCAGCTTAAACGCTGGAGTAAGACGTGCACACTCAAGTGCGATGCCTTAAAAGTGCCATAGAATGGAAAACTGTATTTACCTTTGCATAGTTGAACAATAACAGTTCTGTACATGGAAATGACATATCGTGAGCCTCAAACACCATTGTTTCCTCCTTACAGATGCGGCAGCTAATATGAAAGTGCAAGCGTCTTAAAACTGAGACAGATTATATGTAGCGCCATCTAATTTCGGACCACTGAACTGTCAGTTACAGGCAGAAGAGCATCAGGGTCGCTTCTCTAATGTGTGCTGAGACATGCTGTAAACACTGAAGGTTCATGACGCTGTGCAGTTTTGCGGCAGCCTCTTGAGACTGTTTACTGAGAAGCGACAGTGAGCATAATGACACTGACCACACTGCCTGACAGGAAATAAATCATCCGCGGCCAATCTAATGCAATCTAAATCTGTGCAGCGACTAATGGCAGAACATGGCGCTATGATGAGGGTAGAGGACACCTTTATTTACGTCATTCAGTTGAATCAGTGTTT